GAATTTAAAATGTAATTGGTAGAAATGTAAAAAGGCAAAATAACAATCATGGTGTAAGTTACTAAGTTTTTTTCTTCTAATAAATGTCTCTCCTAATGTATTTCTAGATCTTAGGGATTTTCTTCAATTAATGTTGTAGCCCTTTATTTAATAAAATAATATGGATAAAATTTTTAAGAAAAAAAATAATGGAATTATAGTGAGAGTAAGTTAGGACATATTCCTGAATATCATTAATTGTATATGACAAAGAGATACTCTTAAGGCTTGAATGTTATAATGGTCCCTGTATTTTAGTCATTAGGTCAATTAAGTCTATGTGTTTTCAATTTGGCCAATTTGATTACTGTGTTTATCTTCGTTAGCTAATTAAGAATATTTCTACTTAATTTCTGTAAATAATTTATAAATTATTATAAATTTATTTGTTAAATTATAATTTATTTGATTTAAAATTAAAAAAATTAAAAATTAAAAGAATATTTATTCTCCTTCCAAGTCTCTGACCTCCTCTCTTTTCTATGTCACAACCTTCATCATTTTTCAGATTAGAAGTTTTATTTCTTATATGTGTTATTTCTCATTGATTTGTAGGGTAATTATTTCTCATATGAATTTTCTTGTGAATTTTTTAAAAGAGATTGAATGAAATGTCATTAATCAGCTAACAGAAATAAACACGATGACTAGAGTAGCCAAATCGAAAACGTTTTTCTACTTTTTCTATAGAGCATTATGAACACGCTTTGAATCATAGTCAATTCTTGTAACACTTTGACGTACAATCACGTCAAAGCAGCTTAAATCACGGGGATCATTGGCAAAAAAAAGCATAAAATCTTGGTAAAACCCCACTATCAACCCCAAGCAAGAGTTTAATTTGGGGAAAACCCACCGGCCGCGGTGGCATTGGGTAGGCGACTCCTTCAAAGCTGCCGGTGGCTCTTGCATCTTTGGACATTTCTCTCCTCCTTTCAAATGTCAATTTCTCGTTTGTCCTTGTGGAATCCCAACTCCCGAACCCATTAGGACGCCGCCACGTCCCCAGCCCCACCTGTTCCCGACCGACACTTTCACTACTTTGAGTAATAGGAACACTGGACTGGATCCAAGCCCTCTGCCGTAGATCTCGAACTTGAAACAAAGAGATTTTTTGGTATGCCGGAAATACGGTTCGGTATATCAAGTATCATAATACAATTAGTTATAATTTTTTTTTAGTTATAAATAATTATACTATTACACTTGGTGTACTGAACCGTGTCATTGTCAAACTAAAAAATCTCATGTCTTTGAGGGTCAAGTATTGACAGATTTTTCAGTATATCTAGAATAAGGAGTAGTACACCATATGTCATTATGCAAGTGGTGAGATACTTGTTTGATCAAGTGGTATTCTTCTTCACTTGTAAATGAAAAATCTTAGATTCGATTCTCGCCAAAGGCGAATTTGATTCACATTATTGCTAGCACATTATGAGACTGAGCCACTCATCACCCTTTTAGTGTAAATAATATCGTTTATTCAAAAAAAAAAAAACTTGAAAAAAAAAACTTCTCTTTACTTATATAATAATACGTGATGTAACTATGTTCCAGACACGTTAAAAAATTTCTTCGAGTGTTGAGTGGGGTGGTCCCAAGTTGTCTCTTCATTTACTGCACAGTGTTGTTTGGTCAATAGAATTTCACAATCTTCCTGCCCGTTTACCCCTCTTTGATAAAGGTGGATCCAAAAGTTGAAATGTGGGATTTAATTAGTATAGTTTGGTCATTTTGGTCTAAGGGCTTTTGAAATTACTAGTGGATCATGCACGTTATCAGTTGGTTTAGCAGTATTTAGTTTTTATTTAGTCGAAGGAGATTTCGTGTTCGATTTATATAAATATAAGAGCAATAAATATATTTGTGTGAATTCGGTACAATTTGTAATTGGGTTAACAATCTATACCTACAACAAAACTAAACCACTACAACAACGTCAACCACGTAGCGCGCCTAATTAAATATCAAACTTATCATAAGTATTCATTTTTCTCTCTTATTCTTGTGAGTTGAACTTGAGAGAGTTTCCAATTAAGAGAAGACAATTACCCTCCGACCAAATGCTAGTTGATATTGTCACACGATAGTAACCTTCTACACGATCTTATACAAACACATGGAAAATTCATAATTTAAAGTACAATATTATTAATAATCCGTTCATATAACGTATGTTAGTTGTATCACTTGAGAGTAATTCGATAAACGACCCTAACTAACAAATTCTCTTAGTTATGGTTTGATTTGACCTTCATTTTAATAGGTAAATTAGGCAGCGGTGGTACATAGTAAATGCACCATACCAAACTCTACCAGAAAAGCAGACACCCCACCTTACAAAAATTCGGTCTCTAGGGTTTCGTTTCATGCACATAAAATCTTTAAAATTTAGTAGCAGCCCTCCACCTTTCCAGCAATGATGAGGAAAAGCAATAGCCCACGATCGCCACACACATCCCTTTAAATTATAGATTAAATTGGAACTTGAGATACAGAAAATACGGATTGAAATTTTCTCCGGATCTCACATTTTAAAACTCATGGACCGAGCAATCTAGATCGTTCAGAGGAGATTTTTGAGTGTTAAAGAGTGATTGTATGTGAGGTGGGTAAGTGAAATGAAAGACCAGATAATTTAAATTGAATAGTTTGCTGGCTCCGAAATGTGAGATCCGGAGAGAATCCCACCCCTAAAAAATACCACCACCACACTACCACCGCTGAGTACAAGAGAGAAGTGATTCTCTATTTTAATACAAGTGATAATGAAGAAGGGAGAGTCAAACCTAGTTTCTCGGGTGTAAAAATAAATATTTTTAATCACTTTAAACTAAAAGCTCTTACAACAAATAAAGATGTATCATAAAAATGACACATACTATTGTATTATTACTACAGAACGCTCGTGTCATGAAAATTGCCCTTACAACATAGAGCAGTGTTAGTTAATCTAGAAACGATAGAATAAGTAGAAGTGCACGACATGTCGTCAGGGAGTCAGATATTAGAGAAATAGAAGCTCCTCGGGATTGGCGACGTGAGCTGGGGAGGTTTTTACTTGCCGTAACGTGAGCGAACATGTTCTGTAGTTGAAAATTTGCTAAAATACCACCGACATGCCAACTGGTGCCCACTTCCTGCCAACGAATATATAAAAAATTACAAATACATCCCCCTTTCCCCTTTTTTTTTTTTTTTTTATACGAAAACTAATGAAAATTGATTGAAAATTTGGAATTTTAACTAAAATGACAAAAATTGTGTTGTAAGTGAATACTACTAAAAATGACTTTTTAGAGTAAAAATGTTTTTAACATTAAAAATGAACAGTATCATGAGTGTTTCTTTAAAACTTTGTTTTTTTTTTCTCTAATTTTTTGTGGTTTTGTTACCATTTGTACATGGGCTGTGTTAGTTACATGCTCGTTTTTATCATTCATGTACTTTTATTAATTTTTGTTATTGATTTTTTTCAATTCATGCAGTTCGATGATTGAAAATTGAGGGAGGTAATATGAGAAATAAAAATGAGTGTATGAATATCATTGGATTAATTTAAAAAAATGTTAAATTATGGCAAGCATGATTGCTTTTGCTATAAAACAAATGGGAATATGGGATACTCCCACTAATCTACTTTTGATTCATCATTAGTCTCTCTAACTATACTAGTTAGATCCCATCGAAATTTGATTAATCAAATTCTTTTTTCTTTCACCAATGAAATATCTCCAGATGTCCTGTGTATTCTCTCATTTAAATATCACTTGCATAAAAACTATCAAGATTTTATAGTCGGGTTAATAACTTACTATTAATTACACTGATATTGTTTTAACTTAACACTCTGCACAACTCGACAGATATTGAGCTTTATAAAAAAGTTGTAATTTAAAATTTTCAAGTTTTCAAAGTGGATTACATTTTTCAACAAAAACAATCAAATTGAACTTATTAATAGGCCCTTTCCACAACTTTAGAAGAGCATAAAATCCAACCATGAAAGCCCATATTAGTCTTGAGCTTGTAACCCAACCCACCAACCACCAATGTTATTAGGCCTTTTCTTTTACAATTCTAAGGCCCTGGGTGGCCGAGAGGAGACTGGAAAGCCCAGTCCAAATCAATTTTCCTTGTGTTCTTGAGTTTTACTTGTAAATATGGTGTTTGTACATATTCAGAAGAGTGCTATAAAACTATATATGCAGACAACCAGATGGGAATCATGGGATATGGCAAAATGACTATTTAAAAGGGTCCCAGGAGAAGGTAAATTTAATACTACAACGTTTCTACGGTTTGGAGAAAAATTTAGGTAGGAGTGTCTGACCACGTCATTTGTAGACATTTCTTACAAAAGCATAGACTCTCCTATTTAGTATTTATTGTGCACAAAGTGATTGTTCCTTGCAGTTGGTAATCATTTATGCCAACGTACCCTACCATTCTAATCATCAAATATTTAGTACGCAGTGTATAAATTTCATCAACTTTACTCACTATTCATAATTTCGTATATAACTTCATCTTAGCAATCTGAATTTTGTTTGTTTTGTAAATAAAAATATAAAAATATGCGATCTTAGCTTCTTGGAGTAGGACGTATAACGTCCTAGACTCAAACTTGAAAGTCTGTTAACTACATTGAAATATTTGGGAATTGAAGAGAAAATCAAGAAGGAAGATGAAGAAAATGATGAACAGAGATCTTAGAGGTAGAGAAATTTGATTTGTATTGACTGAAAGAATAAAGAATTACACAAGTACACACATTGTTTTTACACTAGTAAGCCTAACAACGTTAACTAAATACTAACAAACTTGCTAACTATATTTCTAACTGTATCCTTAATAAGGCCCACCGCCCTTCCCTCCATTTCAATTCCAAGCACTGTTCAAATCTCAAACTATCTGCAGATTTGATGCTATACAAATGTCTTTTAGGCAAAGTACATCATGTTCCAAGAAGATGCCACTTAACATGGTTTTAGAAAACGTGGATAGATGAAAATATATAGATGAAAAAAGACCAAAAAAATAGTATGAAAAAGCTGAAATTAATTAGTTATGCAGGTCACAGTCAGCATTTGGCAAGAAGCTTGTGCAATCTACTGCTTTGTCTCCATAAGTGCTTTTCCAAACGGTGCACTGGTAGGTTGGTGAATTAAAAGCAATTTTGTGCTTCCAAAAAGCACATGAATATTATTTAATTTTGGCCTCAGCTGCAGATACTCATACTGTAGATCCTGCAATGTAAAGAGAATAAGGGACAAGGAGAAAATGTTAAATTATTTGACCAATATTTTTCTGATCTAAGCAATACTCTTGATAGATGCAGGAAGTTGACTTTTCTTGCTTAAAAACATAGGGGCTTGGTTGACCTAGTTAAACTTGGTATAAAATATGAGCAACTTTGTATCTAATTATAACATTAATCAGCAGCTTATCATCTTAAACCTGATCAGACGTCTTAAGTGATTGGTTATAAACACCGAAAAAATGGGAAGATCCCCTCATCGTCTGAGCCCACCTTCGCCGGCCGGCAGGATCAATGTTGCTGCAGCAAGGAATCTTCCATGCCTTTAAATTTTTATATACTGCAGACGTATATACATTCCTCATATACATATACTTGTGTCGCAATCAAGTACATAAGAACATGACATCTGTAAAAACCTTAGCACAAGATATACTATTTGATTTGAGCTTAGTTGCTTATAAATACTGACCTTCGACAATCGTATCGTACCAATTAAAGACGTTGTTCAAAAAACCCTAGGCAGCACTACTGGAAGTTAATCCATGGAGAGTAGGAAATGTAAAAGCACATTGTTTGCATCTTTCGTGTGTTTCACAATATTTTCTTATGCAGGTGAGATTTTTAACTGTAATTAGAACTCTAATTAGGAATATGATTCCTTGATTAAGCATCGTTGCTTGTTCTAACTTGCCTTTTTTTTTTTTCGTTCCGGTCGTGTTTGTAGTGGCTTATGATCCGTTTGATCCAAAAGGGAGCATAAATATCAGATGGGATGTTGTTTCTTGGACTTCTGATGGCTATGTGGTGAGTGCCACAAGAACTTGTAAAACATTTTTTTTGTTGTGTTTTTGGTATGAACACTTTGAGTAACCCTAACAATTAATAAATTCAACAAGTATAAAATATGAAAAAAAGTATCATGTCCAATGAATATTCCTCCAAAATTGTCAAAAAAGGTACACAGAAATGATTCAAATCAATGCCAGCCTTTTTGTATAAGGTCAACTTTAATCTTATTTGTTTATTAATTTTCTTAGATTTTTGTTTATCTTAAGTTATGATTAAGCTCTAATTAATACAAAGATTCAAGCATTTAGAATCTCCAAAAAGTTCATTAAAACAAATGCTTATTAATATTACGTTGATTACCCAGGCTGCGGTGACAATAAGCAACAACCAAATGTACCGCCCCGTCACGAGCCCAGGGTGGACCTTAGGATGGACATGGGCTAAAAAGGAGGTGATCTGGTCCATGGCGGGAGCTCAAGCCACTGATCAAGGATACTGCTCCAAGTTCAAAGGAAATATTCCACACAGCTGCTCAAAAAATCCTTCAGTTGTTGACTTGCCTCCTACGGCTGCATACAGCCAAAGATTTTCTGATTGCTGCAAGGGTGGTGTGTTGGAATCACTTGGACAAGACCCCTCAGCTGCTGTCTCGGCATTTCAGCTGAGTGTCGGGCATTCAGGTACCTCGAATAAAACAGTAATACCACCCAAGAATTTTTTCGTGCTTGGTCCTGGGCCGGGGTATACCTGCAGTGCTGCAACCATTGTGCCACCCTCAGTCTCCTACTCGCCTGATGGTCTGCGTAAGACTCGAGCAATGAGTAAGTTTTACCGTTCGAACAAATTGTGCCCAAAGTGTCACATTCTATCTTTTGATCATATCTTCGCATGTACATGCAATAGCGTTTCAACAAGTGGCCTTTGATTTCATATGTTTCAGCATGTGGTTTATAAATTGCTTCGACAGCAAAATAAGAAACGGTACGTCTCTCTAACATGTAAATATCGTGTTCCCTTTTTGGCAGTGACATGGAGTTTAACCTGTAGTTACTCGCAAGTGCTGGCTTCCCAGAACCCTACTTGTTGTGTCTCTCTGTCATCTTTTTACAACCCGATGATCACTCCCTGTCCGTCTTGTGCTTGTGGCTGTCAAAATAAGAATAACTGCGCGTCAGTACTCTCGTACCCACAAGGGCCACAACTTTCTTAGCCTAATCAATTTCGAGACTTGTAAGTTTATATTATCTGCCCTCTAACATTAGAACATATGCAGGGACAATGACCCTTCAAGTGTCGTAAGTTTGAAAACCGTAGTTCAGAAAAATGCATCAGTCTTACAATGCACAGATCACATGTGCCCAATTCGAGTCCATTGGCATGTGAAGGCTAACTACCGAGCGTATTGGCGCGTGAGGATTGCCGTCACAAACTTCAAGTACCGGATGAATTATACACAATGGACTCTTGTTGCTCAGCATCCAAATCTCAATAAACTTGCTAATGTTTCAAGCTTTCTCTATAAGCCACTCATTCACTACAACACAAGTAAGTTTACAATGGAACTACAATATTTGTACATTAGTACTATTCATTTTTCTCAATCTGTTACACTTTGATTATGTACAGACGACACTGGCATGTTTTACGGCATAAAAAATCTTAACGACCTACTAATGGAAGCTGGAACCGGTGGACATGTTGAATCAGAGCTTATTCTCCAAAAGAACACGAAGGAATTCACGTTGAAGCAAGGTTGGGCATTTCCATTGATGATTTACTTCAATGGTAATGAATGCAAGATGCCCCTTCCTGATATATATCCATCCCTACCCAGCTCTACTAATTCAAATCCAATTTCATCGTCTACACTAGCTACCCCTTTGCTTTCAGCACTACTACTAGTTTTCTTCAGCTCCCATCACTAAGGACGCGACCAAAAACCTAAATGATGGTTTTGAAGATGCTACCTCTTCATCAATACAACTAACTGGAAGGATTGGACAAGAAAAGATTGGGAGTGTCTGAACTCTGTCACTGTATGCCTGTAGAGTTGTGATCAAGTTCAGAAAAGTTGAACAAATGTGTAGAATTATATCCAAATGTATAGAGAGACAAGACACCCATATACTAGCAGAGGATAATATGGAGATCGAAACATAACTGATGGAATGTTTAGAGTATCTCTGTTTCCCGAAAATGATCTAGTAACTATCAGTATAAAGATCTTTCCATCGTGTTCGTTTATAGCTGTAAGTTAGTAACCTCGGAATCTAAAGCCACTTGGCGTTTTGAATCCAGTTCCAACAATGCACTTTTGAGACAGAGAAAGCGGAACTGCTTGACGCTGCATATTAGAACTCATTAAAGCAGAAAATAAAGAAAAACCAAAGTCAGAGGGCAAGGGCAACGGAAAACCAAAACCCCTCCAAGAAAAAATAGAACAAAGCACGACAACATAAACAACAAAACCACTCCTAGCAAACCTACAACAAAGAAGCCGAGAAAGATTACGAGAATAATTAGTAACGGCACAAGGAGGGCATGAATCCTACCAATGAACCGGTGATTAACACCCCTATTAGCCAAACCGTCGGCCACTTGTACCGGAAATCTTGGACAAGTCACTTTAATCATATTGTATTACAGGTTAATCAAAATTTCATGAGGGTACCTAATATAACAAAAGCTGCAGAGGTTGAAAAATCCCTGTCTGATTTAGAAACTAATGATTTCTTATATTCCACACTTCGTTTTTTTTTTTTTTTTTAATCCAGGGGAGGATGGATTGAAGAGAAAGAGATGCAAAAGTCATTGTCAAGTGTAAGTATTGTAATTTCTAGACGGAAAACTGTTCAGATTGCCTTTTCATGCGAGTTAGATAGTTGTATCATCGAGTTTATAATCCTAGGAACGTGTATGATCCTTAAAAACTAAATTGTCCTAACATCAATGTACGACATACATTGTAGATCCAACATAAACTGTTCAGAAGGTTGTAGATAGAATTTTTCCTGAATGATCATGTCTTTTTAGAGAGCTTTTACTGTATAATCGGAGTGTATATCCCATCTTTCTATCTTTCTCAACGCGTGTTTGGAATAACATTTTGGCATGCGGGAAAAGGTAGTAGGTCATTTTCACAAGGGAAGTTTACTAGTTGTGTCAAGCTTGCCCCGAAACGCAAGATACCATCGATAGTCACATCAAACATAGAAATACAAAGATTGCAGGTATAATCTACATTTTTGGTAATACAGATCATGCTTGTGGAGTACTCAAATTAAATCTCTTATTGTCGTGAATGGATCCAATAAATATGACCTAGCTACAATTATACTGACGGTGGGCTGTTGTGTTGAACCATTCCAAAATTTGCATTAAAATACCTAATAAAATCAGTAGGTGAACTTGGTTTAAGCTCCTTAACAACACACATGTTTGATCATAATTTCTCATGCAGGTCAGCTTCTAAACAAAAGGACCAGTTGGTGGTCAAGCCACGACAATCAATCCTTTCGGGGACGGAAAAAACTCATAAGCGCATTTCAGCCTTCCCTTGAGCACTATCGTGTAATTCATTGGGGCAACAAATGTTCTTTCAATAGTACAATTCGGCCCAATATTCTTTGTTTGATCTATTTAGCGCATTTAAAACAAACGAGTTATATTAATGCATGTTTGGTGTCATCCACTTCTTTTTTTAATTAAAATGTTTTTTTATGCAACTCAACCGAAGTGAACCAAACAAGACCATCACACTTACCTTCGTCAGATTTTGCTTAAACAATCAATCACTTTAATGCGTTATTTAGCTACAAGCTCATGCTACAAGGACCGATTTAGTTAAAAGTTTATTAACAAGTCTTATCCTTGCATGTTTTCCTAAATTTGAGAGTTTAATTAGCTATGTATGTAAATTTTTGAATGTGGACGGAGGCCAGAAAGTGCAAGCACGAGCACAGAAAGTGGAAGTGGTGTTGGCTACAAGTTAGTAAAAGAAAAAAAAAAAACAGAAGACTTGCAATTGAAGCAATCCAATTACAAGTTTACAACATGCTCTCTTGGCTAAAAATGGGAGGCTTTTGAGCTCATGTGATAGATGACCTAAAGAAGCAACAGTGTGTGGAAAGAAAACTGACCGTTGTGCTGTTGTCTTCAGAGCCTCTCGAACTCTCCCGCCAGCCTTTCACATAATTATTCTTCACCAAACTTGCTTCAAGGTGCAGAAACACGTCGCAGATAAACAATTTAAATAAGGTAATATATACATATATATGTGTGTGTGTATGATTGTAAAATATATCAAATACTGATATTGTCTCTTCCCTTTTCCTTTCTAACACCCTACATATCTTTGTCTCCTATTCATTCATCCTCTCATCGCTGCCGCTGGAAAGCGTGTGATCTGGTGAACCGAGGCCATGGAAATCGAAAACCAGGCCAACCCAACTCACAAAATCTGCCTCACATGTTGTTCTTGGTCTTGGATGAAGTTCACATTCTTGGCTGTGCTGTATTGCTTGATACTGTCACCTGCAGGTAAGTTTTTTTATAACAAATCTAACTTGAAGAAACAGACCTTTGTCTCTGTTATTGGTTTCATTAATTTATTTGTTTGCTGATGTTTGCTTTCGGTTTTGTGATCTTTAGCGGCGTATGATCCGTTGGATCCAACCGGAAATATAACGATCAGATGGGATGTTATGTCTTGGACAACAGATGGTTATGTTGTAAGATCGATATCATTCAAGTGACTTTGTTTTTGTCCATGATTAAGAGTAGCGATTTACACATTCCCAGATTAACTTCTGACGCTCCCCTTGTGAGTGTATAAATTGTAAATACAGAATACAGAGTGTCCGAAGCTAAACTAAGAGTTTGAAAATCGCGACTCGTTGATTAATTTACAAATCAGATTCTTATCCATCATTGAATTATGTTAGGCTGCAGTGACCATGAACAACTTTCAAATGTACCGGCAAATCCCAAGCCCTGGCTGGACTCTCGGGTGGTCATGGGCGAAAAAGGAAGTGATCTGGACAATGGTGGGAGCTCAAACCACAGAGCAAGGAGACTGTTCAAAATTCAAAGCAACCTATCCCACATTGCTGCAAGAAAACTCCAACGGTTGTAGACTTGCTTCCCGGAGTTCCCTACAACCAGCAGTTCGCTAATTGCTGCAAAGGTGGCGTCCTAGCGTCTTGGGGACAGGATCCCTCAGCAGCAGTCGCTGGCTTCCAGGTGAGTGTCGGGCAAGCCGGCACTTCAAACAAGACGGTGAAACTGCCCAAAAACTTCACCTTGCTTGGTCCCGGACCGGGGTACACTTGTGGCCCTGCAAAGGTCGTGCCGTCCACAGTCTTCCTCACGGCGGATCGCCGGCGAAAGACTCAAGCACTTAGTAAGATTTCCTCACTCATATTTCTAAGATCTTCCTACTCTCTCATCTTTCAAGTATCTCTTACTAATTTCTATGTATTTTCCTTGTAATGCAGTGACATGGAATGTGACGTGCACGTATTCGCAGTTTCTAGCGTCCAAGAATCCAAGCTGCTGCGTTTCCTTTTCGTCTTTCTACAACGAAACCATTGTTCCTTGCCCGTCTTGCGCTTGCGGGTGTCCACAACATAAAAAATTGTGTCAAGTAAGCCTCAACAACCCTATCCACATTATACAGTTTTGTACACACTTGACCTAATTTCTGGATGAAAATCTTTTACAATGCATACAGGAGTGACTCAAACTTGGCACACAAGGCAGGAATAAACACACCGAAAAAGGATAATTCGCCGTTGCTTCAGTGCACGCATCATATGTGCCCTATCCGAGTACACTGGCACGTCAAGCAAAACTATAAGGACTACTGGCGGGTCAAGATGGCCGTCACCAATTTCAACTACCGGATGAACTACACAGATTGGACGCTCGTTGTACAGCATCCTAATCTCAACAACGTCACTCAAGTCTTTAGCTTTGGTTACAAGCCCCTCGTCCCCTACCAATCCGTCAGTAAGTGTTGCGATCGCGAGCTTCTGAAGCTTCTTTTTCTCAGAATTTTGAGTTTCGTCCTAATGTTCGAGCGTGATTGACTGTAATCTGCAGATGACACTGGTATGTTCTATGGCATGAAGTTTTACAATGACCTACTAATGGAAGCTGGGCCATCAGGAAATATTCAGTCTGAGGTGCTTATGCAGAAGGACCAGAATACCTTCACGTTCAGGCAAGGATGGGCGTTTCCTCGAAAGGTTTACTTCAATGGCGATGAATGCATGCTGCCCCCACCGGATGAATACCCGTCTCTACCTAACTCCGGCCATGTACACTCTATTTCAATCTTACAAAAGGCAGCCTCCGTGCTTCTGATAATGTTTTCTTTATGTTTTTCACTTTCCTGATAAATTTTTGAAGGTCAGAGCGACAGATGTGGTCCTGTGCGCGATAATTCGGTATAGATTGTACACTCTATCTGAATCAGTATAATCTCACACAATTTTTCCATATCTGTCCAGGACACAATTTTATTCTTGTTTTCAATCTGTAGTATGTAAAACGATACGCGGATTCTGAATTCAACAGGAATCTATGAACAAGACTCACACATCAACTTTAATTTCTTATGAAATATCATATAGCACTAACAACATATTCACCTCGGATTGTTCTAAATAATCGCACAACAGCTAAACTTGAACAATAACAGTGGTGACAAAGAAAAAATGTAATACGTGTAACAGATAACGAAACAGAATTTTGTAGCGAAAGTCAAGCCGGAGTGCACCTGAACCGCTTTTATAGCTTGAAGCCACAGCACTAATACATTTGACATCATCACTTGGATTTCCCATAAGCCTTGGGGAAACCTGAACTTGATGGGAAATTCTAGAGTGTATTGATAAAACTGATAGCCTTTGCCGCCTAGCCCGAACATACTCACTACGCATAAGCCAATAAGATTACCAGAGATGCGAAGGCGGTCATGACTGGACCAAGTATGCTAATAATACGTTTGGGACTGGCATTCGGCAACCATGGGTAGGCATCCGGAGGTGGCATTACACAGTTGTCTCCGTTGAAATAAATCCTTCGAGGGAAAGCCCAACCCTTTTCAAAAGTAAAAGTTGATGTATCCTTTCGAAATAGGAGCTCTGACTGCACATTTCCAAGTGGACCAGCTTCCGAGAGGAAATCGTTATAAAACTTTACTCCCCACAACATGGCTGTATCATCTGCACAACCAGAAGTATAACCGAATTTTATGTCAATAAAAGTCAGAAGAACTGCAGATATATATTTCACAAAAATTAATGAAGGGCAAAGAAAAGACTTACTTAAGCCAACATAAGGAGTTAATGACTTGTAATTGAAACTGAAAATCTTGGTCAAATTATCAAAGTTTGGATGTTGCACGACAAGATTCCACAGCGTGTAGTTCATTCTGTAATTGAAATTTGTAATTGTGACCTTCACCCTCCAGTAATCCTTGTAATTGAGCTTAACATGCCAATGTACTCGGATTGGACACATATGACTCGTACACTGGACTAGAGGAGTGTTAGCAGATTTCCCGGAACCAGCTACAGCTGAAGCTAAGTATGGATTCTTTGGCCTGCAAATATTGGCAAAAGAGGAAAGAATTTTTATTTACTATTACTGCAAACTCCGGCTTTGGACATGAATAACATACTGAAAAACTCGAGAAATTTTTGTAGGCGACAGAAAAACAATATTCAGAAATGCAAGAAACACATGAATTAGAGAACTTACTCTACACAGCTTCCTGGTTCTGTAGCGTTGTTCTGGCAGCCACAGGCACAAGTGGGACAGCTCACTATGGTTTCATTATAGAAGGAGGAGAGCGAAACACAACACGTGGGTGTCTTTTGAGCTAGAAACTGCGAGTACGTGCATGTAACATTCCAGGTCACTGCCACAAGAGGACGTAGAGGTTAGATAAAGCATGAAAATTCTTTCATGTTTAAAGTGTTAATACCATACTCATCAGTCGAAATGCATCTTTCAACCCTAGGAACAACATTTTAAGTGCAGCTTAAACTACAAAGTTGTTTTGTTCATATGCTCAAACTACTCTAAATGCCTTAGCAATCAACTCACCCAAAGCCCTAATCGAAATTTATTCTACTTGGTGTGCACAGAAAGAAGTGGTTCTGAACTTACTCATGGCTTGGGTCCATCTCCTTTTGTCCGATGTTAGAAATCTGGTTGGTTTAACAATCTTTGCTATCCCACAAGAATATCCAGGCCCCGGTGCTCTCAATGTGAAGTTTTTCGGCAGTCTGACAGTTTTGTTCGTTGTTCCAGCAGCACCCACACTTACCTGAAACGAACTTATGGCATTGGGTGGGTCCTGGATCCACGATTGCATGACTCCCCCCTTGCAGCAGTTTGCAATCTGCTGATTGTAGGGGGTTCCAGGCAACAAATCCACAACTGTGGGATCCTTTTTACAGCAATGTGGGACGTTCCCCTTGTATTTTGAGCAATCCCCTTGTTCTGTTGTTTGTGCTCCCACCATGCTCCAGATTACTTCCTTTTTCGCCCATGTCCATCCTAAAGTCCAACCTGGCGCTTGTATATGTCGATACTGCTGGAAGTTAAACATTGTAACTACTGCCTGCCATTTCAGAAATATAGTTCGTATCAGAAAATTCACTGGAAAAGGCAAATAAAGGATTATATATCGGAAAAATCGAGCTCCTAGGTAATGGAAATGATCGGTAATGGAATACTAAATCAAATTCTCCAAAATATCGAGCAATACCAACAAAGTTACTATTGATGTTAACACAGATGAGAAGATAATTCTAAATCAAAACCTAGTATCTCTTCTTCCCGATTCAGTTTCAAGCAAACAACAAAATCCAGTGCAGAATTTAAACAAATTATCCACTGCATCTTTTGATAACACTTAAAATCTAACTCAAAAACTTCAGATGTATAACCAAAACAACAATTTGAGCCGAACCAAACTCAACGATAACCCGCTTCAAAGTATCTAGTAAATGTATAGCATGATCACATCAAAGGAATCCTCTGCCCATCAATACTTACAACATAACCATCCGGAGTCCAGCTGATGACATCCCATTTAATCGTAATATTCCCAGTTGGATCAAGAGCATCATAGGCTTCTGCAAACACATCCAGCAACACACAGTTCAATTCATCAATCCTCAAAATCCCCAAAACATTGACTTTATTGTAAGCACATGATTTATTAGTCAAAAATCTTAGTTCTACTCAATTTTCTTCAAGACATTTATACAGCTGCTTTACTATATAACAACAAAAATATCCAATTTAATAGGAAATATCAATCATTCAATGCTTCACCACTCCAAATTTAGAAACAAAAAGCACAAAATCTCAAACTTCGCTAAAAGATTCAGCTACCCTCCAACGATTTCTTCGAAAGTTGGATTCTTTCGAATCGGAAAACGAGTTTTCGGGTAAGTTAACCAAACCCCACAAGCAGAAACAAAGAAAAACACTAAACAGAAGCTAAATTTGGAAACTTGAGCAAGAAGTACTGACCTGTAGAAGTAAAAGTGAAGCAGGAAAGCAAGAAGGCGAGCAGAATGGTGAAGCTCGTGAGCTTGGCTATGGATCCAACGGCTGAGAAGCACTGAGGCTCCATTTTCTGATGCAGGTTTAGTTTGTAACAGTGATGCTTATGTTCTGATTTAGCTCTCAAGATCTGCACAGAAAATGTGGAGAGAGAGAGAGAGAGAGAGAGAGAGAGAGAGGAGAGAGAGAGAACTGGGGGTGTGGCTGGCTTTTCTTGTCACATGCCTGGTGGCCTTTGAAGCTCTCACTCTATCACTGTTTAATGTTACCGAAGATTTGTCGTCGGTGACTAGGTGTCACAACATGCATTTAAATTCCATTTTTACCCTTTGCAGTTTTCCTCTAATCAAAATATACTGTAGAGCTTTGTACTTAAGTTCAAATTCTCTTGTTATTCAAACGTCTCTTATTAGTTCGTGTGAAAAAAAGCTGACATAGGACGAGAGACAAGAAGAGAAGAATATACGTCAATCGTATGCAAGAATTCTATGCGTCAACATATGCAAATCAACAGAAAAAAAATGCTTGAAAAAAATCGTAAGAGAAAAATATACAACTCGTTACACCCGATATTTTACTCACACAGAAATAATATTATATCATTAGTTGGGTATTTAGGTCATACTCGAGCAACTACCATTTCCCGTTTGGTTAATTAAAAACAAATTTAAGAGATGCCTTTGTACTATGAGGGGCAGTTTCGGAACAAAAAAAACATAGCATATATGCCACTGGAAAACATATTAAACAACTGTGAAGAAGACAGCAAAGGATGTAGGCCCCACAAGGCATTCTTAAGTGTCGGTGGATAGCAAATTCAATTGCTTGTGCACTCGGAAAGGAAAAGATGTCATGATTTTTTTCTCTCTCATAAAAATATCAGTTTGCGACTTTATCACAGTATTTTATTTTTTTTTAGTAAAAAAATTCACAGACGCATTTTAACAGTTTTCTAATCATTGTTGTGTAATTAATCACGAGCTGATGGTTTAGTGATAAATGACGGATTACAAAACTTCCTTAAAACTAAAAACTGGAGGTATCGAGTTCGAAACCTCTCTGCTGGTGTGGAAACCAGACTTGTGGCCAGAGGAAGGCTGAAATGCCTCTGTAAGTCTTCCCGACCTCCAAAAGATATGGATAATCGTGACTTACCACTAGTTATCCTACTTTTTAAAAAAGAAAAAAAAAATCATCGTCATGTGGTTTACCGTTGCAAGAAATCGAATTCAATACGTGTTGTATAAATATAAATTTAAGGCCTGAAATTCATCTCTAAGCATAGAGCCAACCGAGTGGTTAGATGTTCATGATTTGGGTCTTTGCAATTTGTCCAAATATATATTTTTTTTCTCTAACTACCAGATTATAACATAAAGTGGTATTCTATTATTTTGGCATTATTTAGTTGCACACTCCAACACATTGGGGCCATCCATTTCCCCTATTTAATTAGTGTGAGATTGTCTTTTATTGTGTAATTCAAATGTTTGGTTGTTTTTTTATTTAATGTACTACAATTAGGCCTACAATTATTTGGTTAGTTAATTAGTCTACTCTCTCTCTCTCTCTCTCTCTCTCTCTCTCTCTCTCTCTCCAGTGTTTGAGAATTCTCGATTTAGCTTATTCTTATCTATCATCTTACCCACCCTTACCAATAACTAGTTTTGATCCTTTTAGTGTGATTTCTTTAAAAAAAAAATGTTAATGTTCGAAAAACATTTCAAGAATCAAATTATAATAAAATTACTTATCAATTGTAAACGCTAAATACATGAATAGTATGTGCAATATAAATCGGTGATTTATGGCTTATTTAGAAGTGTTTTTAAAATGAGTAAAAGTGTTTTTAAAGAAAATATTTCTAAGTTTCAAAAGCATTTAAAGTGCTTCATGTAAGAAGTACTGGTTAT